GGATATGAACAGACACTTTACAAAAGAAGACATATATGAGGCCAACAATCATATGAAAAAATGCTCATCGTCACTGGTCATCAGAGAGATGCAAATCAAAACCACATTGAGATACCATCTCACGCCAGTTAGAATGGCGATCATTAAAAAATCTGGAGACGACAGATGCTGGAGAGGATGTGGAGAAAAAGGAACACTTTTACACTGTTGGTGGGAGTGTAAATTAGTTCAACCATTGTGGAAGACAGTGTGGCGATTCCTCAAGGCCTTAGAAATAGAAATTCCATTTGACCCAGCAATCCCATTACTGGGTATATACCCAAAAGACTATAAATCATTCTACTATAAGGACACATGTACACGAATGTTCATTGCAGCACTGTTTACAATAGCAAAGACCTGGAATCAACCCAAATGCCCATTGATAATAGACTGGATTGGAAAAATGTGGCACATATACACCATGGAATATTATGCAGCAATCAGAAATGATGAGTTTATGTCGTTTGTAGGGACATGGATGAATCTGGAGAACATCATCCTCAGCAAACTGACACAAGAACAGAAAATGAAACACCGCATATTCTCACTTATAGGCGAGTGATGAAAAATGAGAGCACATGGACACAGAAAGGGGAGTACTAAACACTGGGGTCTACTGGGGGGAAAAGGGGAGGGCCAGTGGGAGGGGGAGGTGGGGAGGGATAGCCTGGGGAGAAATGCCAAATGTGGGTGAAGGGGAGAAGAAAAGCAAAGCACACTGCCATGTGTGTACCTACGCAACTGTCTTGCATGCTCTGCTCATGTACCCCAAAACCTAAAATCCAATAAAAAATTTAAAAAATAATAATAATATTATTGGGACAAAGAAATAATTGGGAAATGGATGGTAGATTAGGTGAAATCATATCATCTGTGTTACATTGAATGTCAGTGTTGTGGTTAAATAAAAGACTAACCTTATTAGGAAATACTAAAATTGTAAGAGGAAAAGCTGTATGCCTTCAACCTGGGAGAAAATGTTTTCAACAGATACTGGGGGAAAGGTTAGTATTCTCAAAAATCAGTAAGAAAAAACAGTCTTATAGAAAAATGATCATAGTGGCTCACGCCTGTAATCCCAGCACTTTGGGAGGCCAAGGCGGGTGGATCACGAGGTCAAGAGATCGAGACCATCCTGGTCAACATGGTGAAACCCCGTCTCCACTAAAGATACAAAAAATTAGCTGGGCATGGTGGCATGTGCCTGTAATCCCAGCTACTCAGGAGGCTGAGGCAGGAGAATTGCCTGAACCCAGGAGGCGGAAGTTGCAGTGAGCCGAGATCGCGCCATTGCACTCCAGCCTGGGTAACAAGAGCGAAACTCCGTCTGAAAAAAAAAAAGAAAGAAAGAAAAATGATCATATAATACATACAACAAATAACAGAAAAATATACATGATATATACTCAACTCTCTCGTTATTAAAGAAATACAAATTAAAACAATGAGATGCCATTTGTTACCCAGAGTGGCCAAACTGAAAGGGTTTGGAAGTATCAACTGTTGGCACTGAAATGGAAAATGGTGGAACTACAAGATCATGTAGCTACTTTTGGGGAACAACTCACTATGACCCACACGCACAAAGAGGCACATACAAAAATGTTCATTGCAGTCATGTTTACAGTTAGAAACTAGAAGCCACGTGAACATATGTAGGAATATGGATAGAAACTCAAGTCCTTCCATCGAGTTAAAAAAACAACTTATAACCAGGCACAGTGGCTCACGCTTGTAATCCCAGCACTTTGGAAGGTCGAGGTGGGCGGATCACGAGGTCAGGAGTTCAAGACTTGCTGACCAATATAATGAAACCCCATCTCTCCTAAAAATGCAAATAATTAGCTGGGCATGGTGGCTCACACCTGTAGTCCCAGCTAGTCGGGAGGCTGAGGAAGGAGAATCGCTTGAACCTGGGAGGTGGAGATTGCAGTGTGCCAAGATCGTGCCACTGCACTTCAGCCTGGGCAACAGAGTGAGACTCCATCTCAAAAAAATCCAAAACAACAAAAAAACTTGTAAAATAGTATAAATGTTTCTGTTGCAACTATATATTGGTAGCACCTCATCTAAAAAGTTGCTGGCAGTATTTACTACAAGCAGCGTGTAGGTATATCTCATGACCCAGCAGTTTTACTCCTAGGGATATACACTACAGAAATGCATGCGTGTGTTCACTAAAAGATGTCTACAAGTATAGTCATAGCCCAAATCAAAAGCTACCTGAATGTCCATTCAATGGTAGAATGGAAAAATAAACTGTGGTATATTCACAACGAGTTAGTGAAATGAGAATCAGAAAACTGCAACCACACATAATAATGAGAACATCTCTCACAAACATCATGCTGAAAGAGTGCAGACACACAAAAGAGTAGAAGCTCAAAACAGGCAAAACAAATCTGGAACCTTAGAAGTCAGGTTGGTGGTTTGTGTTTGCAGGGTTTTAACTAGAAGGGACATGAGGGAGGCTTCCGAGATGTCTAAATGTTCTGACATTTTTGCTAAGTGCTGATTACATGTTCAATTTGTGAAATTGTTCAATTTGTGAGAAAACATCCAGCTGGACACATGATCCTTGCCTGAAACTGAACACTTACAATTTATGCATAAAATAAAATCTCATTGCAAGACATTTGATATTTTTTCAGTTTATTTTTGATTATATTTGGAGGCCAATGTTACATGATAGCTTCAAACCAACCATTGTACATTAACCAAATTTTACACAAGCTATTTGAAAAAAGATCTAAAAATGTGCTTAGTTATTGGTATTATATAACATTTACCAAGCACCAAGAGTGTGCTGAGATCTGTACAGAACAAACATAGAAAAGACACAGTCCCTGCCTTCAAGAATATCCATTCCTTCAGGATCTTGCACATAAAATTTCACCTGACATTCCACACTCTTTTATTCATAAGGCAAAAATAAGGAAGTTCGTTGCATTTCTCATTGTTACTTAATAAATACTGAATACCCTTTTCCCCAATTCTACCAATGATTACTCGTATCTTTGCCTTTAAATACAAATTTCCATAGTACAATATACAGCATATACTGATTTGGTATTCACACAATTGACCACAATATTCTTGCAGGTTGGTTATAATATGAAGCATGTTGAATTTCAACATTCACAAATTTTTATACCGCTTAACAGAATCGTTTACTGTTGGCAGAGCGTCTTCTGTTTTGTTTTTTCTATTTCAAAAACAACAACAACCACAAATGTGATGCCACTGCTCTTATCTTGATAACTTGTAAACAAAAACAGCACTGCCTTGATTCCAATAAGGGCATCGGAACTATGGCACAATTATTCAGAACAGTGATTTTTAGCACATCTATTAAACTAGCCTTGCAGATACCAATCACATAGTTGCATGCCTTAAAATACTAACAATTTATGATCAGCTAATGGATGATATAAGTATGACTTACTTTACTGTATTTCAGTTTAATGAAGGGGATACTGGTTATAAAATGCCTGAAAAAGATGAGAGGAGAAATATTTTTTGCTCTTCTGCAAGGCTGTGTTCAGAACAAATTTAGATTAGAAGATGAAATGATTATGAATTTGATCATTGGCTAAGGACATTTGATTTCAAAATAATCTCTTAAATAATAATATTTTATTATTTTTAAAATGCAGGAAAAATGAAGTGAATTTTGATAATGTTGTAATTTTAGACTCAGATGCAAGAAATGATCCTTTATGTAAAAATGCGAGAGTATGGTGGAAGATGGTACCCAATACAGCAGACAGGCCAGTCCATATGTCACCTGTGGGGAGCTCACTGTGACAGGAGGGGATGGGCAAAGATTAGAGGGATGGACAGACATTTCCCTCCTAGCCCGGTTCTGTCTTGCTCATTCTGCAAACTGAGGGAATAGAGGAGATAGGGTGAGTCTGGGGGTTGGGGAAAGAAGGCTGGGGTGAGCTTGGGGTCAATGGCAAGAAAGGCTCCAGCTGTGAACTTCACCTTCTATAGATCTCAAGACCCCAAGCATCCAAGAGCTCCAAGCCATGGTAATGATTCATAACCTCAACATCAGACCTGGTATTATCAGGCTGAGGATGACCCCGGTCCGGAGAAAACCACCTTACGTTTGGCCTCCATTGTCTAATTTCCTGGGTCAGTACCAAGTCTGGATGTGTTTGTTATGTGACAACAACGTTGAGTTGAATTTTAAAGCTACTCAGAGCTACTCTGGACTTAGAGCAAGACTGAATTCCTCTGACTACCTCTCCAGCTATGGAAAGCATAGAAGAAAATTCTACAGAATCCTTTCATTTCCAAGTCTGAGGTGTGCCTTACAGTCATGCCCTCCCAAGGTAGCTAGGCACATACCCACATGGGGTCCATTAGGAATAGATTCACCCAAGGGCAGTGGCAAAACTGGTTTGGTCCAGCCCCTGAGATCCCACCTGTCAAATGGAAGAGTTGGGGTGGATTTGACTAGATTTTTCCTATGTTGGGTAAGTACGTCTCCACTCTACTGCAAATTCAGAGTAAGAGGTTGGGAGCTACTGATCTCTGATACTCTGACACTTAACCTGTGATAAAGAGGAGAATAATGGGATTAGAATGCGGTGTAGAGTCCTACTGGTTGAGGGATGCGGTGGAAAGGCAATGCCCAGAGTGGTAACCTAGTAGTCTCTTTGGGGTGAAACAAGCAACCTTATGTAATATGCCCAGTTGAAAACAGAGCACCAAAGACTATAATTCTGATGGCAATAACATATATATATATATATATATATATATATATATATAATTTTTTCATTTTCAATTATAAATCCTCAGTTTTCCAGTCACTGAAATTGGAAATCCATCCATACATAAGCATGATAATACAAATGGAGAGCATGAAAACCTTTAAAAATAAAGGTTCACTACAGATGAAAACATTCATCTCTCACTTGTTAACATCATAAAATTAACTGTCTGCTCCTTAAGGGTGAACAACAGAATTAGGCACAGCAAGATAAGCGTTATTTGGGATTTTTTTAAATGGATGCTGGACTCCTATTGCTTTAAAAATTGAAATGCTCTCACACCTCTTATTTAGAAATTTATTATATCATCCAGAGTGATTACACTTGCTACCAAAATCTATTTATGTCCCACCTTGTTATAAAAAAAATACAAGGGAGCTAGTTTCTGTCAATCCTTTTTTCTTTAACCTGTGACAAGATAGAATCAGATGCTGATAAGGATTCTTTCTGTTCCATTATTGTCAAAACACCATTCAGCAGGTGGAGACAGATCAAAATTCAGGTGAAATTACAACAGCTTCTTTTACATTAAAGAAACCTTGCTCTAAGTTATTTAACGGAGAAGACAATAAATGAAAATCAGGTATTTAGATATAGATAAGTGGTTAAATAGATAATATTTTTGCACTGCTGCTAAGTATTCAAAACTCTGGAGTAGGTGTTGTGGTAACTGAGAAAACCCCAGTGCCTTCTTTATTGTTATATTATTGAACAAGCTTTCAAAATCATTTTAAAGCCATTGAAATGGCTGACATTAGTGGTGCATGAAAACCATGGTTTACAGATAGAATGCCAAAGTTTAGCCATTGTCTCTACTCTTCAAGGCACAAGGAGAAGTTCCAGACTCTTCAACTCATGTATGAGAGGCAGAGCCTCTGGTATACCAGGAGATAGAAAATTAAGGAATACAGCCATACACCAAAAGCAAGAACAGGAGATCTTTGGAGTGGCCATGATTTTCAAAGACTGACCTTACATCATTAGCAAGCAGCTCCCCTGCACTTTGGACTGAGGACAGGAAGGTCTCCTGGCCTGAATACCTTGGCCCATCATGCAGTCTGAACACTTCATTCCACACCTGAGTTGGTAGTCCAGCTCCTTCTTACCCCAGGCACAAGGAAGAAGGTCCAGAACGTTTCCATGAAGATCTGCAGTGATGCAGACATTCTGTCGTGTTGATGGCAAAAGGGCAAGAATGAAAGTCAGTAGCCCTTGATACAAGTCGACAGAGAAGGAATTCCCTTTAGGGACATGCACCCTGTTATTTCACCAGCAATGGTCTAAGAGCATTATGGAAAAGAGAACTCACCCTCTTTTCTTCTTATGTTGCTATTTCCCTTAGTTTCTTCTAAAGAGACATGTATTAAATATCTTCTGCATAACTTATTCCCCACCATTAAACGTCATCAAAATGGAAGGAACCCAATTAATCTTTCTCTCTTTTTTTGGCTTGGGATAGTCAATTTGTATTTACTGGTAGTTCATTACATTCTTTTGGTAGGAAAAGATATTGCACTTCTAAAAATGCATCGAGTGTAATTGAGTCAAAGCTAATAGGTAGGTAGATTTCTCACTAGAATGTGTATTTTCTAAAAACCACCTTATTCAACATTTGTGAAAAAGCTTCCATGATTTAATCTCTATCTCAACAGACTGTTGCCTTACTGCTGCAAGATTCTAAAATACAGACAAGACATCAGTAGTCATAAGCCACATGTAGGTTGCATTCTCAGCTCATGATTTCATTGTGCAGATGGGCACGACAATCACGAGGATGACTGTGCATGCCGCGGCAGCGATCAGAGCAGCTATCTTGCAGACCTTGGCTCGTCTGAATTCGGCTTCTTTACGCTTTAGTAATGAATCGTAGCCTGGAGTATAAATGTCTTCCATCCAGTACTCTAAGTTGTTTGGGTTTAAAGATTCTTGTGTCTAAAAGCGAAGAGAAGACGTTAGAAATACGGTGAATATCTGAAATCAGGTCAAAGATGTCCTGACAGTCATCACTCCTGAAGCACTTACGTTGTCTGTAGCTGGGAGTTACAGACTGTGTGGTAGAGCGCTGCCCCACCAGCCCCAGGCCTGAGGCGGACTACCATGGGCTCATCCCATGTATCAGATTGCATGAACCCCTCCCTCATGCTGGTTTTGACACCGAGAAACGTAAGGGTCTTTATCTGCAAGCAAGCAAAATGGGGCTGAGACGAGCAAGACTCTGAACTTCAAGGGCATGCAACCAAGAACAGGCTGGCCCCACTGCCAGGGAAACGAGGAAAGTCACTGAAAAACGCTTTCTTCCAACAGGCTCGAAGAACAGATCTGCTTGAAACAAGGCCATGATAGCACTCTGAGTCAGTTCTTCTTTCTCAGATAAAGCTTCTACTGAAAAATCAAAGGCACCTCTAAGATGAGCAGTTCAAACAAAACACAAAATGTTTCAATCTCAAACATTTGTCTGAGCAGATTATGATGCTGGTCAAAGTCAAGGTCTACTGACCCCACAGCAGACCGTTCTCACCCCAGACCTGCCTTGGCAGTGGTTCCAGACTTGGGGCAGCTTCCCCAAAGAAAGAGCCCCCACTGACATTTGTCTCCTGATCGCTCCAAGATTAATCAACTATCATTGGAGAAATACCGTATTTAACCTCTATTGCCCATGAATCCACGTTGACAGTTATAATCTATTTCCATGAAGAAAGGCAGTGTTCTCATTTTAAGGCAAGCATTTAATAATATGAGGGTCTCATAAAAGCAACAACACATTGCAATTCCAAGTGAGGTCATTTAAATCTTTGAAGTGCAAACAAAATATCCATTTTGAAGATTTTCTTAGATTGTCTAATGCTCATAAATACAGGCACATTAAAAATTATTCATACACATACAAATACAGGCTCAGAAAACAAACCCTTCAAAGTTTTAAAAAACTTCGCTGTACCATTTATTGGTAGAACAGTGATGATTCTCATGCATGCTGGTAATTCTCTGCCTGACCTTCTAGATTCATTCTCTGTTTTTTTAAATCTTGCCCTGTGACCCTAAAAATATAATCTACATGGATACATCATGGGGGCTCCCCTGCCTTCAAGCTCCACTAGAGGTTCAGGCAGTGAAGACATAGAGAAAGGGAGGTTGAGGTACTCATTCCCCCAGCTCCCTCCCAGTGGGGCTGTCGTTTGGCGGGAGCCCAGCTCCCATCAGACACCTGCTCTCAGACCTATAGGTCTCAGTGGGTTTCAGCAACAGCCCCTTTCCCTTGGCCCTTCAGATTCAAGGGTGGCAATAGCCTCCTGCTGGTGCTGGTCTCTGGGTGCTTTACCAGCTATTGTAAAGAGTCCCCTCCTTAGTTATCCCTTGGAGTATGCCACGTGCCTGGTGCCAGGACACTAACGACTCACAGGCCCTGCCCCCCTCAGGCTTTACTGTCTGCCTATTACTCACAATCGTCTAGCATGGGGCTATGCATACTATGACCTGCGGGCCATATCTGACCTGCCACCTGTCTTGGTACAGCCCTTGAACTAAATGTGATTTTTTTCATTTTTAAATGGTTGAAAGGAAATCAAAAGAATAAGATTTTATGACATGTGAACATTATATGACATGCAAATCTCAGTGTCCAAAGATCAAGATTTATGGGAACAGAGCCACACCCATTTGTTTCCAAACTGTCTATAGCTGCTTGCGCACTACAGAGGCAGAGTTGAGCATTTGTGAGAGATTTCAAGGCCCACAAGGCCTAAGGGATTTACTGTCTGGTCCTTTAAAGAGAAAGGTCAGAGAACAGCCCTGTTCTAGGACGTGCTTATGCAACACCGCACAATGGAAAGAGAAGGGGATCTGAGCATCACAGAAAACCTTCCGGTCCCTTCCCTCGCTGAGGCTTCGTGTTTACATACTGCTGTTGAATTTTCCAAGTTCTATGGAAAGGTGGAAAGTGGTCTTGGACACTCAGGGCACCCAAAACAGAAACCAGGACACTCTGAATGTGGTAAAAGTCCTTACAGTGCAGGGTTCTCTGTCCAACCCTTCAGCCTTTGCAAGATTGCAAGAAACTCCTGCATTTCCACTGCTGCCTGGCCCTGACGGCTAGACTGCCTCCTCCTGCTTGAGCCACCAAAGCTCTGCCTGCCACAGGATGTTGGGGCCAATCTGCTGTCCCTGGCATGAAAACCCTTCAGCAGCTTCGTAGGCACTCAAGAGAGATGGACCCAAGATGGGCATATTTTGCTGGAGGACTGGTCTGCAGAAGGGGGCAATGTGCCTCTAGAGCCCGGGTGCTGGTGGAGGCTCAGACATGCCCTGGCACTGAAAGTCTGGCACATGCATATTCTGGGTGAAACAACCTGCTCCTCTTCTCCGCCATCCCAGGGCCGACCCAGAAGGCAAACACCGTGTAAGTGACACATCAGATTTCGTGCTTTATTCCCTCCAGCTCAGACAGAAGGACATTGGCTTCCTTTTCGTAGCTATCTACACTTTATTATGGGCTGGGATTCAGTGTGTGAAATAAAGTATTTTTAATTAGTTTTTTCGATAACTGTAAGCTGTGATGGCACCAAGTAGAAGAGAGATAATACTGAGGTTTCAAGGGGTGCAGGGAGTGCGTGCAGTTACTAATTAGTCCTGGTAAATGTTGGAAAGAACAAGCCTGCACCTTTGCCTACGCCCTCAAGCAGACACAACTGAAGGCAGATGTATATCTTGGCCCAACGGGACTCTAAAAAGATTGTCCAGAAGCCAACCCTGCCCTAAGACTGCGCCTGAGACTCTGCAAAGAGATGAAAACAAAAGAGATGGCGCCTGCTGCCTTCAGCAAGCCCTCAATGTTGGCTGTGTTTCACTATAAACACCCTCACACGGCGATCGAACTCTCTTCTTCCTCATATTTTATGCAACTGGATTCTCTCTCTCCTTTACATTTTCAAGTAATGTCACCTAAAGCTCTGTAACCCAAATGGCTATTTTTAATTTTTATAATTTTATCTTTATGCTCATAAAAATATTGGTACACTAAAAGCTCACATATCTGTAGGGGCAAAATCTTCCCACTCCATCCCTGCAAACTTTACAGAGATGTTTCCCAGTCTGTGACTCACTGAATGAATGACTCAAGGTCATCCAGTGATACTGGTGATATATCGATTATTCCGTCAGTTGAGCCATTCACACCTCCAGGTCCTTTCTGACCCACCAGCTGCTCTTGGTATTCTAATTCCCACAAATGGAGGGGTAACACCCACGGCAGAGCTGCACAGGACCCACCTGAGGGAGAAGCAAATCCCTGTCCAGCCTCTTTGCCAGCAGGAAGGCGACAGAAGAGGGATTGGCCTGAAGGGTCAAGGGGTATGCAGTGCAAGTGGGTATGTAACATGCATGAGGTGAGAGGGGTGAGGAGGGGATCAGGGCTGCTCCTGATGCACCCACAGACCTCACTGTCAGCATCTGGCCAGAGTGGCCCCTCCCCATAATTGCTGTCATTTAGGGCCCAAGATAAACAAATGTCATGGCAATTATTATTTTTCTTTGTAACATAAAACTCCACTAAACTCTTAATAGAAAAACGAAATAGCAAGGAAGTTGCAGAAGAGAAAGAACATGAGACCCATTGCCAGACGGTCCAGTATGAATTTCGACTTGTCTGACCTGGGGCAAATTATCAACCTTCCCGGGGCTTCAGTTTCCTCATTTGTAAACGGAAGATGGTTATAGCAATTCCTGCCTCACAGGCCACTGTGCCTGGAACTGAGAGACTGCTTTTAAAAAGCGCCATGCAAAGTTGATTGATTTCATCATCATCGACCAGCCCCCACAGGCCTTCTTTTTCAGTGCCTACCTGATGCCAGGTGCTTCAAATATATTGTTTTCAATTCTTACAATGACTCACAGCTCGATATTATTAGGTCCTTTTAACAGGTGGAGGGACTGAACCTCAATCAGATGCAGTGAATGCCTCAGGTCACACAGCGAAGGAGCCCTGGATGAAAACGCAGTGCTGCCAGAATGCAGGCTTCTCTCTCCACCGCACTGCACCTCCCACAGCCCTCTGTTTTAGAGCAAGGCCATTTCAGGGAAGCCTTGCCATACTGATCTCCGCAGGCAGCTCTCACCAACTGTGCTTCAAGAACATGGGCATTCTGGGGCCTGCACGGAACTGGCACCCCAATGCTATGGCCTCGCTGCCCACAAAGCTAAGGGCACAGGTGGGAACGGGGTGCTTTCTTTGCTCCTGTGGTGATCTGGAGACACAGATCGACACAGCGTGAATGGAACCAGGCAGAGCTGCCCACCAAAATAAAAGTGTGGCCCAAACCCAGCCCTGCCTGTGGGTGAACAAGAAACATGCCCTCCAGCCACAACTGCATTCACAGAGCTTCCAGGGATGGCTCTTACCTGGGGCGGCTCCGTATGGAAACATAATCCATAGCTGGGCTCCCACAAATATGCTTATCCCACGTGCTACATATGGAAGGAGAAATCAGCTTGTATTTCATTAAACAGTTTGGCTCAGGTCTTGTGAGCAAATATTAGAATCTGCACTTGGTACACAGTCATAAATGCATCATTAGCAAATCAGATGGCCGATTAAAAAAAAGACATAAATCAAGCATTCCTACTGCTAAATGTTTATGGTAAGCAAAACAACAATCCCCTTGTTAAAAGTGTCTTCTACTCTATGATTTATTAAAGTTCTGAATTCTATGCTGGGGGCCCAGGGAGTTGAAGGGTGTGGGGATGGGCTGGGTAATCTAAGCCTTCCATGTCCATTCCTGTATTTGCCAGGGCACAGGTGGGCTTCCCCCAACCCAGGGACAGCGAGAGGCTCACCTGAAGGTCCAGGGCTGTCAGCTTGCCCTTGTCACCCGCATTCCGTGCATACTCCTCAATGGTCCAAGAAGGTTGGCCTCACTTCACCTCAGCCAGCTCGGTCAGCCACATGTCAGTATACAGAGGGTTGCTCTTCATGTGGGCTTTGAGGGATGCAGGGTAGGGGTGAGGGCTGAACACCTGCTCCACCAGGAAGCCGTCTTTGGGCTGCTTGGGCAGTCGGTGCTGTGGGGGGATGTCGTACTGTCTGTCTGCCTGCAAAGGGGCACAAAGAAGTCCAGACAGGTGGCACAGATGCCCTTGGATTTCACAGTGCAACTGAGCAACCAGCAGCTTTCAGTCACAAGCCCTGTAGACATCCAGCTAGCAAACTGCAGTTACTTCCAAGCAAATAGAAAGTATGAAAGCATAGCCACATTGGGGGAAACTCTAGGAAAAGCTTATGATCGTAATGTGACTAATATAAATTAACATGTCTATGCCAGGAAGAGGTTATTTAATGTAAACTTTACGCCATCACTACCAGTATGAATCCCCATCGTACAGGTAGGAAAAGGGTGCCCCAACTCAGTAACCTGCCCCAGGGCGGGCAGCTAGCAAAGGATGGAGCTAAGATTTCAACTGATCCTCTGGCTTCAGAGAGTCTTTGTTTACTGATATTAATGCCCCCTCTTTCTTTTGGCATTTTGCATGGGATAGGGATGAGTAAAGGAACTTGCTAAAAACCTTGATGCTACACTACCTCTTTGGAAGGAAGAAGCCGATGCAGAAAGCATGTATTGGGAGCCACTAGTGATTTTCCCAGGCAGCAGATGGACCCCTGTCAGAGGGGATGTGGCCTTCAGGATAAGAGGGCGGTCTGGGCAGCAGTGTGGACATAGGAAGGTGGCTAAACAGGTGGCAATAATTTATATTCTCCATCCTTGAAGTGCAAGCCGAGAGTTTCTGCTCTCAGTACACCTGTTGTAAGACTCGGTGAGTGCTCCTTTCTGTGACCTCTTAGGACTGTGTCCACCTTTCAGCCAGCACTTGTGCCTTTGAATTATAACTGCCTGTTTGCCCATCTGGCTCCTCTGTTAAAGTATGAGTTCCTTGAAGGCAAGGGATTGTTTTGTTCGCCTTTTGAGTCACCTCTCCAGCAAAGTAATACCATCAAGTAGAAGACACTCCATGAATAGTCATCGAAAAGTCAGAGGCCAATCATAGGAAGCCATGTATTATGTAACAGAGAGTAAGTAAGTTGTGTATCTTAGTAACAGCAAGAGAAAAAGGAAAAAAGAATATTAGCAGTCAATGTGTGTGTACAGAAGGAAGAGAAGGAGAATGTTTAGGTGTGATGAGAGTTGTGCAAGAACGTGGTGGGCACAGGTGTGTGTGTGAGTGTGGCTCATATGCTTGTGTAGGGGCTAGAAGCACACGTGCTGTGTGTGTGTGAGAGTGTGTGGCTCATATGCTTGTGTAGGGACTAGAGGCACACGTGGTGTGTGTATGTTGTGACTGTGTGGCTCATATGCTTGTGTAGGGACTAGAGGCACACGTGGTGTGTGTATGTTGTGACTGTGTGGCTCATATGCTTGTGTAGGGACTAGAGGCACACGTGGTGTGTGTATGTTGTGACTGTGTGGCTCATATGCTTGTGTAGGGACTAGAGGCACACGTGGTGTGTGTATGTTGTGACTGTGTGGCTCATATGCTTGTGTAGGGACTAGAGGCACACGTGGTGTGTGTATGTTGTGACTGTGTGGCTCATATGCTTGTGTAGGGACTAGAGGCACACGTGGTGTGTGTATGTTGTGACTGTGTGGCTCATATGCTTGTGTAGGGACTAGAAGCACACGTGGTGTGTGTGTGTGGATCATATACTTGCATAGGATCTGGAAGCACACGTGGTGTGTGTGTGTGAGTGTGTAGATCATATGCTTACATAAGGACTGGAAGCACATGCCCACCTACCAGCAAATCCAACCCATTGGCTCTTACCCAAACAGAGTATAACATTTGGCTATTCCCGACCATCTAGAGCACAGACACTGACACAGAGAACACAGGATAAATCCACACAAGGAAATTAGTTTTCCTCTTATTTTCTAAGTCATCGAAGCCAAGTATCTTCTAAGAGACTTCACTGGTTTTGTCTATTCTGCTCATCACCACCACCCAACACTCAGAGCGCTCCTATCACATGCAGGGTCTGCACCAAGCTGGGAGGAGGGCAATGGCAGTAATAATGACTCCGACGGCAGCCACGGCAGGCACAATTGCAGTTAACCAAGGGCTCACTATGTGTCCACCACTCTGCTCAGCGCTAGGCATGCATTGTCTTCATTTCATCTTCTTATTAAAATTATGAGCTTGTAACTATGATTATCACTAGTATGGATGTGGAAACTCAGGTCAGAGAGGTTAAGAGACTAACCTAATGTCACACAGCTGGTAAATGGTAGAGCCAGGATTTGAAACTGTTTCCACTTCTAAGATGGAAAGTTTCATGGCTGCCCATGCCTGTTCCTATCACTGAGTTTGTGTTCTCACTGGGCAGTCAATATATATACGTAATATGTCTTTTCAATAAAAGCTTGCATCCACAAAGTCTGAAGGAACAGGACTAAAGTCTGCAGATCAAAGACCAGCAATAAGCTCTAGAAAAGCTTACAGAGACTTACGACATAAGGGGCCTCGAGGGGAAGGAGTGTAAGACTTAGATCAGTACCGGGGAGGTGGACCAGGCAGTCTTGGTGGAGGATTCAGGAGAAGAAAATTTGACAGTGGAATAGGGCCTGGCCATCCTCGGTGCTCAATTAATGTTTACTTAATGGGTGACCAAATGCATGCACCTGGCTATTTTGAGGAAAAACAGGAAGACTCATCAAGGTAGAGCAGAGTCCAGTGAGTCAAGGTATACCAGAGCCTTCTAGTTGAGGAAAAGTACATGAAATTCACAGGGTCATGAAGCCTTGGCTAAGATGTTTGCAACTCTTTACTGAGGCAAAAAAGAGTCAGAGAAGAGTGGGGAACAGGGGCCCTGAGCAACTACAGAGAGTGGCATTTCTGAAAAGTGAAAGCCGCAGCAGTCTGTGAGATGAGGCGGGAGGCGGAGACTGTGGAGAACGTGCTCAAGCATCCCAGATAGCGGAAGAGCCTTGACTCTGGTAGAGGTGTGAATGGAAAAGAAGGCAGAGTTGCAAGAGACAGGACGAAAGGCACATCCGCAGGGTCTGGCAGCTACGCTGGGCAAAGCGGGCTGAAGAGGGGACCAGAGGGGCTTCTTCACTTCAGAGGATTGCTAAGATGCTGACCCCCATCCTTACCCCTCCCAGAATGGAAACAGTGAGAGGGAACACCGATTTTAAAGGAACAGAAAAGCCTGCTTTGGGAACTGTTGATTTTGACATGTAGGCAAGACATTTAGGGGAAGCTGGCCTTCAGCAGTTTCACATGTGCGATCGCAGCTTCAAAGGCAGGCAGGGTCTGGTCACTGCCATGGGAATCACCACCCCAAAGCTGGTGAGAGCCACAAGCGAGGAAGCAGAAATGAGGTTGCAGAAGGAGACAAAATAGAGGGCACATGCCCAGCATCAGCAACTTTGTGTCAGGCATGTCGAGTGGATCTGACTCAAGCTGTGACTGTTCATTCCTGCTGGCTTTGTGAAGCTTCCTCATTGGATAGAGGTGGGGCATGGCAGGTGCAGTTTACCCTGGCATTTCTACAGAAGCACCTAACCATCTGAGTTCTCTGAATGGCCACTTTTCAATGACATCTGAAACCCAAAGCACCAGAAACCTGGCAAGACGCTGGCAGCTGAGACAGTGACAATAGAATCCGAGAAGAGGACTGGGTCTGGGCATCTTGTGCCCAGCTTCATGGCACATACCAGACTCTGGCCAACACCACACACCGTAGGCTGCTCCAGAAGGGCAGAGCGGTAACCAGCAGACACCAGAGGTTTCTTTAAAATCAGAAAATAAAGTGGCTTATTTTATTCCCTTTCCCACACTTTGGACCCTGAAAACTTCCTTAGAGCCCAGTTTTCCAAGCTTTTCCTTCTCAGCACCATTTGAGGATCTCAGCCTCCTCCCTGGCTTTGAGCGTCTGTAGCCCACAACTTTGTCTTTCTCTGACAGCACATTCCTTGGAGACCTCAGGAGCAGGGCCTTGTCTGTCCGTTGACCTTTTAGAAGCAGGGCCTGGAATGCACACAAGCCACACTCAAGTTGTATCACCTTGGCCAGAAAGGGGTCACTGTAACCCACTTAGAATGAACAGGATCAGTCACAGGTCCCACAGAAACAAATCATCTTGACTGCAGGGGGTGAGAGAAAGAACAGATTCGAGTGGTGCGCCCTGATTCCAGGACTGACAAGGTGGAGCCTGCCATACTTATGCAAAAGTACTGCACTCACATGAAAGAGCCTCCAACAGACAGTGTACAGAAAAAAACTGAACAGGAAAGAAAGACACCAGATCAAAAGTTGCCATCTTGGTGTGTTGGAACTATGAATGATTTTATTTATTTATTTATTTATTTATTTATTTATTTATTTATTTATTTATTTGAGAAGAGACTTGCTCTGTCACCCAGGCTGGAGTGCAACGGTGTGATCTTGGCTCACTGCAACCTCTGCTCTCCCAGGTTCAAGCGATTCTCCTGTCTCAGCCTCCCGAGTAGCTGGAACTACACGTGCCTGCCACCACACCCAGCTAATTTTTTCTGTTTTTAGTAGAGGCAGGGTTTCATCATAATGACCAGGCTGGTGTCGAACCCCTGACCTTGTGATCCTATTTATCTTCTTTCCTTCCTAATCATCAATTTATTTTATAATTAAAAAAAACCCCTCCTACTTAAAAAGGAACATCCCATGTGCAATGAAGTCCACGAAAGGGATGTATCCACGAGCACCCTTTCCACTGTTTTCCCTCATTTACCTCGCCTGCATCCTGCATCCTGCTTTCAGAAAGCACAGGAAGATATCCTTGGTGATGCTTGCCTGCTCTGACACATTCCCCTTTCTATGAAAATCTGTTCTCACACCACCTGTCCAATGTATCCCAACCCTACACTCCGCTGTCGGCAACATCGCAGTATGTGCTCCTCCTAGTTGACGACAACCTGGCGGCACACACAACCTGCCTGTGCTGTCCTCTCCATTCCAATGTGAAAAGCCTGCCAAACTTGGAAGGAAAACTGGCACACAGAGGCCTCTTGCCTGTTTAATGCAGTGTTCAAGGCTTTGAAATACACCAGGGCTGTGATGAAGCTGGTGGCCGATGATGTGAACTTAAATTTAAATTACCTCTTTAGATTTCCGATGCCAGTCTTTATTATCTCCTGGGCCCGGGTCTTTTATCTCCTCCTCATTGAGGCCTGCACGGTTGGTATAAGTGATGGTACGCCAGTCTCTGGGTGAGTTGGAGATGCTGGCAATTTTGGACTCTGTGGCACTGTTCTCCTCTGTTAGGGACCTAGAGGACGGCCTGGTGAAGAGGCTTTTCTTTAAGGCCTTGACCCGCAGGCTTTCGCTGTTGCTCCCACTAGCATCAGAGCAGCACCAATCAGGGTTGTTCTCCAGTTTGGGTCCATGGGAGCTACTGTGTGCACGGAACATCCGGGGAGAGGCACTGTCATCAGACGGAGCCTCGCTTGTCAAGGAGTTCAGGTCTATCTGCACATTCACCTTCTCAGGCTGTTGCATTTTCTGGTCTAATTTATTTAGTTTGCCCAAGACCTGGGAGGTTTCCTCACGGACACCTGACAGGGATTCCAGCTTCCGTTCGATTTCGCCGATCCTGAGCACCAGTTTGCACACACTGGTCTTCAGCTCTTCTTCCAAGTGGTGGGTGTTTTCAGGTCGGCTGCTTTTGTCTCCCTTGCTGTTGGGGACCCCATTGGCAATTTTGGTTAAGTTGTGCTCAGGAGAGCTGTCGCAGTCTGACTTATGGAGCTGAGACAAGGACCCTGTGCTGTTGTAGCAGGATGAATGTATCACTCCTGTGGAGCCACTGATGCTCATGTCATCAAAAAATCGGAAAATATCACTGATGTCGTCACTGACAACTTCCGAGTCGTCGTCTGAGTGCTTCATGGCATGCCTGTCACTGTACTTGCCCTGACTGGAGGTGCACAGGTCTTTGCACTTCTTGGGCTCTAGTACATGCTCGGTCTGGGTGCCCACACTGCTGGTGTCTGAGCTGAGCTGCCCGCTGGTGCAGTTAATGCTCTTGTCTTTAAACTTTTTGACTGGTTCATGCTTCTCCAGGTCAACAGGGGATGAGATCTCTTTAGATTTGAGCCCGTTTGGTTTTGCTGCATAAGCAATGGGGAGAATTGGCTGCTGATCATTTGGAACGAGGTAAGTCGGGCGCCTGCCTGAGGCTGGGAAATTGGGAGTCTGGCTACTGGCATTTGGATAGCGCAACTTCTCCTTGGAGGGATTTCTATTGAAAAAGGACCGTTCAAAGTCAGGAACTTCCTCCATGTTCAGGCTCCAGCTTTTGGCTGGCCATGGAGTCTGCTTGCTGGGCCTCCCTGGACAGCACCTGGCTTCCTGGGTCCCCATCACAGGAGTGGGCCCGAAGTATGTAGAGGCTTGAAGGTCATCTAAGCTTTTGTGCTTTGCTCACCTTTTGTCAGGAACAGGGGAATACACCGGGTTCAGGTACTGGCTGTTATAGGGCATTTCAAAGCTGTGGTTAAAGAAGGGTGGCTTGTGGGGTTCCTTTCGACTCTGGGGTTCCCCGTGCTCATTCTCTGCTTTGCTGATGGGGCCAACCATACTGGGGGACACTGCCATCAAGTTGTGAAAATCCTCTTTAAAGATATTCCTTTTCTGGACACAGGACTGGACCACAAATGGCTCCTCATTGGAAATGAAGGTCTCCTTGATGCTCTGGTTGATGGGCAGGGAGTCCTGGTCTGAAATTGACTCATTTTCAATGTTCATGGGAAAGTAGGTCCTCTGCATCTCACAGGGCTGAGGGCTGGTCACAGAGTAAGGGGCCAGCGCCTGCAGCCTGTCCAGGGAAGCAGCCCTGTGTTTCACCTCTTTGCTAACTCCCAACAGGAAGTTAGGCTCAGAGGCAGGGACAAACTGCGGGCAGTCCTTGCAGTCTATCTTCCGGCACTTGGATGACTGCCTGGTGGGGTAGCCCCGGCTGAAAGATCTCTCACTCAGCTCGCAGTTCAGGGGCTCACACTCTGCTGCATTGCAGACCTCTGTGTCTGACCTGCATGAGTCAAAGGATGCCTCCTTCTTGCACACCTGCTGGCGGCCCATAGGCAGCTTCTCCTTGGCGGCCCCGCCATCCATTTGGATCAGGTTGAATATCGTCACTATATCTGCTGCCACCATAATTTTCTTGGATTGCTGGTTATTCACAATGCATTTCTTCTTGTCTTTGAACAGCGTGGCTGGAAAATTGGGATCGAGACAGGCCGTGTAGAAGAGCATGCTTCTCAGTTTGGCAAGCTGCGACAGATCGAACCGGGCACAGAGAGATTTGCACAGATCCTGATAAGAAATGGTATTTTGCTTGCTGTCCAGTTCCTCCAAGATCTTCACCAAGAAGAGGGAAGTTTCCTGACTGGTCCCCATGATTTATAACTTGAAAAGCTTGCTGATTACACTGAAACTTCAGGTCAGGTCTACGGTGGCAATACTGAGAAAAAGAGGAGGAAAAGAGGATTATAAACACCAGTGGAGTTTGAAGCCAAGCTTCTTACAAACTATATAAAGAAATACAAAGGAAAACATTTTAATGATTAAAAATGCATTAAGGGCAGTAAAAATATTCATAACATTCAACTTAGTAAATCCCTTCCCAGGAATCTACCTTAATGATTGATGACAATCATTATGCTTAAAGATATTCACTGTGATGGCACTTATAATAATAAAAAAGCAAAACATCTTAAATATCCAAATAGCAGAATACATAAACATGCTATGATATTCCATGAATTTTTACAAACATTAAAATTATGTTAATGTACATTCTTACAACAGAATACTACTCATCAAGAACAAACTATCAGTACATACAAGGACACAGATGAATCTCAAATGCATTGTGCACGGGTGGAAGAAGCCAGTGGGAAGGCTACATACTTGACTGCGTGATTCCAACTTAATTACATTCTGGAAGACATATCAGTGGTTGCCAAGAGCTGGATATGAGGAGGGAGGTTGACTCAAAGGGGCACAGAGAAGGTTTCCAAAATGATGTAATTGTTCTACATCCTGGTTGTGGTGGTGGTGACTTGACTACATGCATCTCTCAAAACTCACAGGACTCTAAAGTATAAGTTTTCCTTCACATAAGTAATACCTCCATTTAGAAATTAAATAATGAAGACTTTTCATAACAAAACTATGATATAATATTGAGTGAAAAATATGAAAATAAATCTATATAAGATTATAATGATATAAAATTATGCATTCTTGGAAACAAAAATGAAAGAAAATGATGTGCATGAAGATGTCAGTAGTGTTTAAGTTTGGGTTGCAAGTGTGGATGTTTTAATGAGTTGGTAATCTCTCTTCCCTAATACCCTATTATGCAAGTTTTCAAATATACAGCAAAGGGAAAAGAATTTTACAGTGAACACTAATATACCTACCATCTGGATTCTCCATTAATATTATACTTTATTTGCTTTATTGCATATCTATCCATGTATTCATCAAGCTTTCTTATTTTTTTATTCACTTCAGAGTAAATTGCAGACATCTGTACACTTCCTCCAATACTTTATCATACATATCAACCAAGTTCAAGAATGGTTCAGATTTTCTTTTCCTATAAAATGTACGTACAATGAAGTGCACAAATCTTAAGTGTGCGTTGGCTGAAGTTTCAACAGTTACGTATGCCTGTATAGTAACCAAAACCCCTGTAAAGAACTAGAATGTTCCCTTTGCCCCTGAAAGTTCCCTCATGCCCTTTCCTGTTCAACCACTGTTGTTTTTATAGGTTATTTTCTTTATCATTTCCCATCTTTTCTAAAATTCTCACAATGAGCATTTGTTATTTTGTAAGCACCAAACAATCATAAACTTTACTTTGAAATCTGATGAAAACACGACATTAACAGATCTTGGATGGTAAAATTAAAAACACTAAACCAAATATTAAATGGAAGTTCATAAGAGAAGGTGAAGCCCTTCATTGATAAACACAGATGCAGGTTCTAGAACTTACAAAGACACATCAAACTGCACAATGTATTCATTTCCCTGGTGCACACTGCTTAGAAAAGGTATTTTGATAATTGATTTATTGATTTTAAAGTTAGCGCAGTCCACATGTATCCAACCCATTTTCTAGGGGAATAGTATATTTTCTTTGGATTACATTAGCAGCTCGAGGTAATGAGCTTTCTCTCCATCCTGAAGGCAGCCACTCCCAATGGGCTTCTATAAACATTAGCCTGGTCTCTCCATGAATATCTGGAGGGACATGCAGAGACCAGTGGTTTGCATTTTCTTGCATGGAAAAGAAAACCACCTTTGACAGTTCTGCTCCTGCCCAGAACAAGTCACCGTGAAACCCATCCCGCCCCAGCCTTCCAGTCCATCTGATGAAAGCATTCTGTGTCCAAATGTTATGGCTTGTTAAAGGTGGGGACAACCTGTCACACTGGGTCTCAAGTAAATGAATGGGTGTAGATATCAGAGCTCAGGACAAGTGAATGTAATTTTGGGAACAGCAACTACAACCCATGCATATATTTTACAGTTTGGGTGACACAAAGCACTTTCAGGACTTCCAAGCTAATCCTGTGTGTGTCCTACCTTGCACCTTCCAGGAAAACCCAACACTTAGCTTCTCTGGGAAGATTTCTCAACTCTTCTATCCTACTTTGCATGGCAAAGGAAGTCTTAATCGCAGATCAAAAAACCTGTTTGGAAAAGCAAGGCCCAGGGTCTCCTGATGTGAATAAAAGAAGTACAAACAAATATGGTAAGCCTGAGTTATATTTTATCAAATCGGAGATTAGGAGGTCTGTGGCTGGAAAGAGGTGGGTGGACACACGTGCAGCACAGGTGCACGTGATGATCAGTTATCACAGAGAAACTGCACACAGATTTCCTACAATGTGCAAATGAGAACCAGAGAAGAAGAAGAGCAAAGGCAGAGATGAATTGAAAAACCGGATTCCAGGCTCTATAGCAGTGGAACAGGATCCAGCCGCCAGCATGAAGCCCTCGGCAGTCTATTTGACCACACAAAAAACTGTGTAGGGCAGGAAGAGCACCCCCATGTTACAGATAAATAAACTAAGCAACTCAGAGAGGAAGTAACCGTGTAATCCATGAGTTGCCAGGGCTCGGTATTGGGTTAGGGGCCCAAGTGTACTCCAACCCAGGTCTTCTGATGCTGTTGAAGGAGCACTAGGCTCAACTGCATGCCAGGAGGAGGACAAGCACCCAACGCCTACTGACAGAGGTGGATAAGGGTTGGGGAGCCGCTATGGATTCACCACCTGCTATGTTCTGAGGCCTCACATGGTTTCAAGCAACAGCTCAGAGGAGGCGGCATAGACACTCCTCAGTTATTCGGGAGAAATGAGGAAAAGGAAGCCAGAGAAACTACACTGAGAGCGTGACGCATCATAGACTGAACCCAGATCTGGCCAAAGAGCAAGGCAGAAATATCCGCCTGGAATCTGGGAGTTGAGCAAAACCGCCTTGGGACACTATGCATGCATATCCCCACACACACAGCTCCATACTCACACAGCTGCACACTCAGACTCACCCAGACCTGCTCACATGCAGACTCACACACCCACACACACACTCCCACACACAGCTCCATACTTACAAAGCTCCACACACAACTCCACACACAGACTCATCTAGACATGCTCACACACACTCACACACACTCACACAGACTCACTTGCTCACACACACACTCAGGTTCACACAGACACGCTCACATGGACACACACCCAGACACACACACACTCCCACACACAGCTCCACGCTTACACAGCTCCACTCTCAGATTCACACACAGACTCACCCAGACGCTCTCACATAGACTCACACGCACAGCTTCACACAGACACGCTCACACACACTCACCCAGACACACACACTCCCACATACAGCTCCACACTTAGCTCCACACTCACACAACTCCACTCACAGATTCACACACAGACTCACCCAGACATGCTCACACACACATGCTCACACAGCTTCACACTCACAGACATGCTCACACACACCCAGACTCACACACTCACATACCCCACAGCTCCATACTCATCCAGAAATACCCACCCAGCTTCACACTCAGACTCACCCAGACATACACAACTCCACACTCACACAGCTTCACACTCACCCAGACACACACATGCACACACACCCCAACTCTTACCCACAGCTTCACACACACCCCCAGACAGCCACACAGCTTCACACACCCAGACACATTCACTCACACAGCTTCACTCACCCAGACTCACACATTCACAGCTTCCCACTCAGACTCATCCATACACACACCCATACAGCTTCACACACCCAGACACCCTCACACACACACACCCAGACTCACACATGCTCATACCCACCCACACAGCTTCACACTCAGATTCACCCCCACACAATTCCACACTCACACAGCTTCACACTCACCCAGACACACAGCTTCACACTCACCCACACACCCACACAGCTTTGCACTTACACAGACTCACCCAGAGACACACAGTCACAGACTCACCCACACACTCATTCACACAGCTTCACAGTCAGACTCACCCAGCCACACACACCCACACACACACGCACACAGACTCACCCACACTCACATGCAGACACATTCACACAGCTTCACACTCAGACTCACCTAGACACACACCCCCATACATATACAGCTTCACACAGACTCCCCAGACACACACCCACACACAGACTCACCCACTCACAGTCAAATATCTTCACACTCAGACACACTCGCAGCTTAACACACACTCACCCAGAAACACACTTATACAGCTTCACACTCGCACAGCTTCAGACTCATACATACACATACCCAGACACACACAGCTTCATACTCACACAGACTCACACTATACCCAGACATACTTGCACAACTTCACACTCATAGACCTACACACACAATTACATTTATACACATACAACCACACATTCATACACACTCTCAAGCACACACACACATCCACCTACACACAAACAGACCTACACTCACACTCACTTGCACATACTGTCACACTTCTGCACACCAATGCATACACATAATTCACACAAATACTCAAGCTCCCACACATCCATAAACACATTCACACCTCTGCACACACACCTTCACAAACACATATACACCCACATACACAGACTCACTCACACTCTCATGCACATGCTTCTCTCCTGGGTGTCTCTGTCGTCAGGGTTTGAACTTTCTTAAGACCCCAGCACATCTCCATGCATATTTTGGGGGCCAGGCAGCCACCAATCCACCCTCTCTGGCATTTGGGAAGCTCACCCCATGATGCTGCACTTTACCTGCAAACACAGCCGTTGCAGCACCTTCTTCACTCCATCCTGTGTGGGAAAGCTCTGGGAGGACTCCAG